TGGGCGACAGAGTGAGACTCCAACTCAAAAAAAAAAAAAAAAGAAAAAAAAAGATGGGGTTATTGGCTGGGTTCAGTGGCTCAGCCCGTAATCCCAGTACTATGGGAGGCCGAGGCAAGTGGATTGCCTAAGCCCGCAGGTTCGAGACCAGCCCGGGTAACTTGGTGAGACCTCGTCTCTACAATAAACCCAAAATTAGCCGGGCATGGTAGCGCGTGCCTGTAGTTCCAGCTACTTGGAAGGCTGAGATGGAAGGATCACCGGAGCCCAGCAGGTCGAGGCTGCAGTGGCTGGGAGCAGCCACTGCCCTCCAGTCTGGGCGACAGAGTGAGACTCCAACTCAAAAAAAAACAAAAAACAAAAACAAGAACAGTTTAAATGCCCATCAGTAAGAAGAAGTCCATTAGTTGTCAATGGAATATTAGTATGGAAGTTTTCCAAAAACAATGGCTGTTTTAAAGGGAAATCTAATGCTATGGGAAGAGGCTCACAAAACAGTAACCGAAAAGAGCAGGATAAAAAGCGGCCTGATTTCCTGAAGAAACCAGGCCACACAACAGGAGGAACGGCTGCCAAATGTTATTAGCAGAGATTTCTCTATAGATTATAGACATCTGTATCTGATTTCTTCTTTTTCCTTTTACCATAAAACTGCCACTTTTATTGTCAGAAAATTAGTTTAAAAGTTGCTCGATACTTTGATCTACTTTGACACCGAGTGTCACGGAGGGGCTGGCAGCTAAAGCCAGGGTCTGGCCGGGTGCTGAGGAGTTGGGGGGTGGGCGTGGGAGTCTCCTGTGGGGACGGTCTCCGGGCTCTCAGGAGGGCCAGTCGGGAGCTCCCCCTCATTCCCTTGGGAATCTGCTCCTCTGAACTCCGCTTGGTCCTCAGGCTTCGACACAGAGACCCTGCCCCAGTCCCACCCCCCGCAGCTCACCTAGTCGGGATTGTAAGGTGCCGTCGTCGGTGGACGCCATGTCGTTGAGTCTGAGCAGCCCCCGGCCCCTTTCCACCCACGACTGTGAGGTCTTGTCAAAGACAAACAATTTACACTGCATCTGGAATACACACAGCTCTGGGTGAGAGCGGACCCAGCTGCAGACGACCCCAGGAGTCTCCGTCTCACACGCGGGGTCAGCAGACCACGGCCTGGGGCCACATCTAGCCCTTGGTCAGTTTTCTGTCCTGCCCTAGAGCTAGAATGGGCTTTGCGCTTTTAAAACGGTATTTGAATAAAAAGAGAATCATTAAGGAAGTGAACATCAAAACCGTAAGATACCACTGTACGTCCACCAGGATGGTGTAGCCATAAGGAGAGACGGGAGCCCTTGTGCCCTGCTGGTGGGAAGGCAAAGTGGGCAGCCGCTGTGGAAAACAGGCCGCGGCTCCTCCAAATGTTAGGCATGGAATCGCCACATGGCTCAGCAGTCCCACTCCTAGGTATGTATCCAAGAGAAATGGAGCGTTCATTCAGGTTCACAGAAAAACCTGCACATGAGCCAGGGTGGGAAGATCGCTTGAGCTCAGGAGTTCGAGACCAGCCTGGGCAACACAGAAAGACCTCATCTCTACAAAAAAGAAAAGGAAATTAGCTGGGCATGGTGCTTTGTGACTACAGCCCAAGCTATACAGGAGGCTGAGGTGGAAGGATCACCTGAGCCCAGGAGGTTGAGGCTGCGGTGAGCTGTGATCGTGCCACTGCACTCCAGCCTGGATGACAGAGTGAGACTCTGATTCAAAACAAGAACAAAACCTGTACACAAATGCTCACAGAAGCATCACTCATAATAGCCAAAAAGCAGAATCAAGCCAAACACCAACCGGTGGATGGACGAACACAACGTGGTTCATCCCTGCGACGCAATCTTCCTCAGCTCTAAAAGTGGAGGAAGCTCTGACACAGGCTACCACGTGGACAGACCTTTGAAACGTGATGCTGAAGGAGAGAAGCCAGATGCACAAGGCCACGCGGGGTGTGACTCCATTTACACGCAATGTCCGGAACAGGCAAATCCACAGAGACAGGAAGTGGATTTGTGGGGACCAGGGGCTGGAGGCGGGGACTGGGAGCAATTGCTCATGGGACAGGGTTTCAGGGGACAAAAATGTTCTACATTAGATGGTGGTGACAGCTGTACCATTCTGCGAACAGACTAAAAGCCACTCTAAAAGGGTGAGTTACACAGTGTGTGATATCACAATACAGCTGTTTCACAAAAAGAAATCCCCAACACAGACCAGATGTGGCCCTTCACAGATCCCCCTAAGTCAATTTCTCTTAACATGAACAGATCAAAAAACACAGAGTGGGGAAAAAAGCCGCATCACTAAAAACCCTATGGGTACTCTCCAGTTTATAGACACAGACACATGTGTATGTGTCAAGGGAGAGAAAGCAGATGGATGCAGCCCACCAAACCCACCTGACTCGGGTGGCGTGGCCTCAGCGGGGGAGGGAAACAGGGATGGGGATGGTGGGACGGAAATTCGGGCTGCCCTACTAAGACAACACGGGTGCCAGGGGGCCAAGTAATGACAGTTGCCAATTCTGGGTGAGCAGAGAAAGTGTCTGTTACCACAATCTCCATCATTTCCCAAACCATCAAAAGCGGCTCAAAACAGATCTTTCTGCTCTAAAGACAAGGCCACCTGAGAAGCCCTGTGGCACGCTGAGCTCCCCCGAGGGCCCGGCCCAGGTCCCCGAGCAGGCACCGGCACTTACCTGCAGCACGTTGCTCTCCGCCTCCTCCCCAGTGATGACTTCCACCTTTTCCAACAAACACTTCCGTGCTGTGGCCTTGGTGTAGGCAGCTGCCGACTCGGCCAGGGACTCTGAAATGGTATTGGCTAAACAAGATTGACCACTTATTTGGTGAGGGGAGAGTGTGTCACTCACGGGAGACCCAGAGGGTTGGACTGGCCACCCCTGGCTGTGAGATCTGGCATCTGGCACGGACCCTGGACCAAGCCAGGGCACCCAGCCTCGGAATCTGCAGGGAGACTATCTGGAAGCTGCCACACGTGGCCTGGATCTCTCACGCCCGTCCAGGAACAGGAGGACAGCGAGGGACTCTTTCCCGCCTGCTGCCTCGGAGCGTGAAGGAAGAGGGTGACAGCTGGCCCCTCAGCACCCCCCTCGGCCGTGCAGCGACAAGGGCCCTTGTGTTCCTTGGTTCGAACATCTGTCTCTGCTCGCTGCAAAGTCACAGCCACTGCTTCTGGACTGTTCAGCAGCTGGTTCACATGCAGTCATTATTGCTGAGGGGAACCCCAGGCAGGGGCATGGATGGCCGAGTGTCCCCTTGCCACCTGCCACCCCTCACACCAACCTGCAGTGACCCCACAGGCAGGACTGTGACGTACCTTTCTCAGGGGTGGCCTCCTGGGAAGAGGACTCAGACCCAGACTCGGCAGCTGTGTTTTCCCTGTTGGCATCTGGACTGACCTCGTTTAATTTGGGGGCGCTCTGCAGGGAAAACAGGCAAACAGGGAGGAGGGCGTGTCTGTGTGTCCTGGGACCGCAGTTTTGGGCACTTTGCCGCCAACCCTCGACACCACCTCCAGCACCACGAGCGGCGGCTGCCACATGCCACTCATGCACGCTCTGCATGAATGCCCTCAATCTGCCTCGGAGCCCTGCACGTGGCCTCTTAGGCGCAGCTGGGAGGCAGGGCCTACCATCCAACGGGCCCCTGGGCCACATGGGTCATCCCTGTCTGCAGGGCCGCCTGTGTGAGGCCAGTCTTCGACTCCATCATCATACTAGAAAAAGGGCAGTGTGGGCAGGTGGGAGGGAAGCGGGAGGCTCTTTGCTTTAGTACAAACTGAGACAGGGATGGAATAAGGAGGGACGAGGGCAGATCCTCACCACACTCACGATCGACACAGTGGAGCGGTGTGCAATCGGGAAGAGGGGACAGTGCCAGGAGGCAGCAAGCCATTCGAGAACCCTCTGGGAATGGAGATGGCCCTTCGTGCACCCAGGCCTTTGCTCTGGCATGTGGTGACAGGGGTGGAAAGCCACAGCCCTGCTGGCAGGCACAGCTAGCCCCGCCCTGCAGGCGCGACGGCCTTGTGTGGCAGGGAACATAGAGGACCTGTGCCCTGCTGTGCTGCAGCTTCATGTCTGGGTGGGCTGAACTTCCCTGGATCCAGGGGGGTGTGCACTAAGGACTTCTGTCTCATGGCTGTCACTCCAGCTGGCCTGCCAGGAGGAAGCCTGGCCCCTGACTGCCAGTATGGCCCCATGCCTCAAGGGGAGCCTGGCCTGGAATGCAGCTGGCCCTGGTCGCCAGGGAAGAAAGACGGGAAAAGCACATTCAGGACGCCAGCTCCAGGAACAGCATCTCAGCAGCTCTTTTCCCCCTTAACTGCCACCAAGAGCGGCCCCATTCTACACGGACAACATGGCAGCCCCACTCTGCATGTCCCCTTGACCTGGTTGGCGCTGAGAGTCTCTGGTCTTCGAGCACAGTCTCCACGTGGGCACTCACCAAAACTCGCTCGCTCATGTTCTGGCCAAACACAAACTTGTTGCTGGAGGCATCGGTACTATTGGTCGCGTTCTCTAAACTGAAGAGAAGACGTGTGGTGAGAGTGGGGCCAAGTGGGTACGTGGCCAGGCAACTGTGCACGCACACCTCACACACACGTACACACCAGGGCAGAGGGCACAGCCCAAGTGCTGCCCTTGCTATGGACGGGCCGATGTGCCAGCGACAGGAATCCACACACCTCCATGCCTCCCTGTGCCCTTGCAAATATGGACCGTAAGCTGGGCCTGATGGAGGTCCCAGTAGCACGAGGGAAGCCCACATTCCACTCGCTCTGCTGGCCGCCTCCTGACACACGCAGGGGGCGGCTGGGCCACAGGAGGGAACCAACCAGCCGCCATTGGCCCACTCTATTCTGCTCTGGGCATGAGGTCTGCATGACAGAGGTCATTTCGAGAGCTGGGCTGTGTCCTCCACAGGCCCCTGGACAACCCCACAGAACTCTGGTCCTTCTTCCAAGTGTCCATCGAATCCCAGCAAAGCCCACCACCCTGGCCCGTCCATAGCCATGCCGAGTGGGGAAGACGGGAGGGCCCAAGGGTGACCTGGATTCTGACAGGGCTCTTGCCCTGCCCCTCCACTCTTCTCTCCTGCTGGGATGCATCCGGCTGGCTCCTGGCCCAGGTCCAAGGCCCCCCAGCCACCTGCCTTCCCATGCCGAAGCTGGTCGCTGGTCCGAGACACACACCTGGAGCTGATATACTGAAGGAAATAGTTTGTTGCGGTTGGCGTGTCTGAGCTGGGGTGCCCGGTGTTCTCCATGTCAGCCTCATCAGTGCTCTCATTTATTAGCTGGGAACAGAGGAAGCACGTGCTGCTCAGACGGCGGCAGGGGGGTGGGGTGCCACAGCTTGGGCTGCCCTCGGCCCCCACACTGCCTGGTGTGGCTTCGAGACGTGAACCCTCTCGTGTATGCATATGTCTCTGTGTGTGTGTGCACACGCGCTTGTGTGCTGGGGGTGAGACTGGAATCAACACCACTTGTGGTCTTTAACAGTTAAGACACAAAAGAAACTCAGGGAGCCTTTCCTGCCTTGTTACACAAAACCCTCCCACGCTGGCCTCTTGCTGGCATTTCTGTCAACCTCTGTACCAAGAACACAGAACGCTTTATGAAGCTGGTGTTTTAAGGGGTTTATTATAAACATAATAAAAGCATCACTCCTCGAAGGCTTCTTTGATGCCAACTGCTGTGCTAAGTCGCTCCGCATATTAAGTACTTGAATCCTCACGGAGCCCTGAGAGGGGAAGCCCTGTGAAGGGGATGCCAGGACCCTGTTTTCTGAATAAGGAAGCAGAGGTCCAGGGGGTTAATGACCCACGGCTCAAGTTCACCCTTGAAGAAGAGGCTAGCCCATGAACTCTGTCAGACACTGACTCCACCCCAATTTCACAGCAGCTGTACCTCCAAACTGGAGGCAGAGACTCAAGAGAGCCTGAGACCCAGTGGTCAACCCCTCCTCGCTTCTCACCCTTCTCTCTAGAGGAAGTAGAGGCCCCTGAGGATTCATTATTTTGCCTAAAAGTCACAGCAACATCAATGCCTACTTTCACGCCCCTTGGGGGTCTGGACTTCTGCTGGATAGTGGGCAACACAGGAGGAAGCAGAAAACACAAGCCGGCGCGTTTTACACGCTGGAGAGACGCTGGTTTCTGTACTTCAGGACTCCTCCTGTGGCATTACTGATGCCTAAGCCCAGAGAGTTCTCTGGGTGGGACTGTCCTGGGCACTGCAGGATGCTGCAGGCTTCCACTCGGTCCATGCCAGGAGCACCCCCAGTTGACAACCACAGATGTCTCCAGGCACAGCCATGAGGCTTCTAAAGAAGCTTCTTGCCAGCTGAGCTGCTGGAAACACCACAGGAGGCCATTCTAAGCCTGTGGCTGAGAACGGCAGTGCTTCCCAGACCTGAGCTCCCCAGAGTTCTCGCACATGATCCAGAGATGTTGTTCCTGGCTGTTACCAGCCCCTCCCCGTCCCCGCCCCAAATCTCCAGACTAGATCAACATGCCTGGAAGGCAGCTGGGAGGTGACAGATACTTTGCTGCCTGTCAGGAGAGAACACAGTATCCTCAGCTGGGCCCACTTACAAGTAAACAAGGTGATGGTTAACTGGGGACGATTCACCCCTCGTGGGATATCTGGCAGGATCTGGGGACCTCTGTGGTTGTCACAACTGGGGAAGAGGGTGCTCCTGGCAGAGGGTGGAGGCCAGGGATGCTGCCGCCCAGCACCTGCAGTGCCCAGGATGGACCCTCCCAGAGAAGGATCTGGTCCAGGTGCTGCTGGTGCTGAGACGAGGAGACCCTGAATGGAGGACAGAAGGGTCTCGGCTCGCGCTGGAGGCCCCGGCTCGTGTTGCTTGCTTTCTTCTTTGCTACAAAAATGTGAGTGTGTTCCCGGGCTAAGCGTGCTCCATCGCCTTCCTGTTCCCTGTTACCTGGAGTATGGCAGTGTGACGTGGGACATCACCACTGAGTCCCACACTTAGAGTCACTGTAGGGGAGAGCCCTGTAGGCTGGGCAATCAGCGGGTGCTGGGGCAGGGCCCAGCGTGGGAGCGTGAAGAGCTGCACCACCACGCCCGAGTCACAGGACTGCCCGGCCACGCGCTCTTGTTGCCTCCACGCCCTTTTCTTTGAAAGCATCTACTGACTTTCCTGCTGTCCAGCCCAGGGAGGCAGAGCAAATATCAGCCCATGAGCTCACGGTCCGCTCAGCCACGCTCACACACCTTAACTCTGTCCCTCAGGTTCTGCCCGAACACGAAGGCCTGCTGGGCAGCCTGCTCCTTTTTCTCGCAGCTCTCCTCCTCAGAAGTATTGCTGGACTCATTTTTCTGGGGCTCTTTTTCCTATTAAAAATGAAACAAACAAAAAAAACAATCACCAAAGTGACACACTCAGACCAAATAACCAACACGAGTGGTCCCATGCCCTTGTGTCCACTCCACACCTCTCCTCTGGGGGCGGGCCCTGGGCCAAAGAACAGCTGAGACTTGTCAGGGGACTGGCCCTGCCGGGAGTCTGTGCTACATGCTCCTGGGTGGGCGTGGGAGAAGGGCCCTGAAGACACTGTGAGCTGTAGCTCCAGACACATGGGAGTTGGCACCAGAGGAGCAGACTTGGCTACCTAGAGACTATACAGCGGAGACTGGTCCTCAGTCCTGGAGGCCAGTGGGCGCCCAGGCACATGCAATCCTGTGAGGCAGAGGGCCCTGCTGCCCTCTCCACTCACCTCAACTGAGGGGAGATGGGGCAGTTGGACACAGTGCTGGGGCTTCTGCCCACCACAGGGAGCCCAGGGGCCAGCAGTGCCCTGGGCTGTTTGAGCTTTGATGGAAGCTGGGCACAGCCCACCAGAAAGGTGTCAGGGCTCCCTCGGGAGGCTGCAAGGCTGCCTTATTGAGATGCTGTTAATCAACATTTGTGTGGGTCATATTTGTGTCTGATTTGAAAAGCCCTGGCAAGTGGGAAGTTTTCTGCTCAGGTGGACACTGACACAGGAAGGAAACATCACTGCTGGATATACCCAAAAGGCGGTTCTAAGAATCTGTTCTTAGAAACGCCCATGGGGGCACAGAGACAGATGGAATAAGAGGTGCCTGAAAAGCACTTCACACTGGTGGAGAAGTGGAAATGACCCAGATATTGATGGCTAGCCAGGGGGCTAAATAATTGAGGATATAAAATATGATGGGGAAAAAATACAATGCAGCCGCTACCAGAGAGGCAGGTCTCTGACCGGAAATGAAGTCCACAACACAATGATCGCAGGAAAAAACAAGTTGGAGGCTATGGAAGTGTGATTCCACTCTGTAAAGCAAACCCGATCCCAAATGTGTATGTTTATATGTGCCAGGAGAAAAAGCAGGAGACAGTGAACGCAGACGACTGACAGGGCTGTTTACCCGGGACCTCTTAACTGGGGGGAGTTCCACTTGATATTTTATAGGTTTTCCATAGTTTCAATATTTTCAACACAGGCATGACTTTTGTAACTAAACATTTCAAGAGCGAATTCATTTATCTTGTGATAATGGAACTGGAGTTGCTAATAATTCATATGTATTTCTCTAATACTACAAGGTAAAAAAAGCTGCTGTATAATTTGAAAATAAATTTTAAAAGGCTTTTGGACGGATGCTCTGGGAATGTGCACAGTGGACACAAACATGAGACGTTTTCCCAGGAGACATTGTGAAGGAACCTGGCAACGGTTAACTCTGAGAGGCTGGAGATGGCTCCTGACCCCACTCAGCGTCGGCAGTGGCCAGGGAGGACAGGAGTCAAGACACCAGGCCCAGGACTGCTAACTGTATTTCTGGTCCACTTGTCAAGAGTTCAAAAGTTTCTCTGCTGTGCTCCCTACATTCTGCTACTGTGGACTTTACACTGCAGCCTCATGCCTGTTTGAGACTGAACATGGCTTTTAAAAATAAACATGTGGTCAGGCTCGGTGGCTCAGCCTGTAATCCCAGCACTTTGGGAGACCAAGGTGAGCGGACTGCCTGAGCCTGTGGGTTCGAGACCAGCCTGGGCACCTTGGCAAGAACTCGTCTCTACAAAAAAATCAAAAATTAGTCGGGCTCGGTGGCTCAGCCTGTAATCCCGCGCCTTTGGGAGGCTGAGGTGAGTGGATTGCCTGAGCCCGCGGGTTCGAGACTCGCCTGGGCAGCGAGACCTCATCTCTACAATAAATCAAAAAATCAGCCGGGCGTGGGAGCACATGCCTGTAATTCCGGCTATTTGGAAGGCTGATGCGGAAGGATTGCCGGAGCCCAGCAGGTCGAGGCTGCGGCGGCTGGGAGCGGCCACTGTACTTTAGTCTGGGCAACAGAGTGAGACTCCAACTCAAAAAAATAAAAATAAAAATAAATAAATAAATAAATTAAAAGTTAGCTGGGCGTGGTAGCGTGCGCCTGTAGTTCCGGCTACTTGGAAGGCTGAGGTGAAAGGATCGCCAGAGCCCAGCAGGTCGACGCTGGGGTAGCCATAAACGTGCTACTACACTCCAGCCTGGGTGATAGACTGAGACTCCAACTCAAAAAATAAAATAAACACGTTTGGCCGGACGCAGTGGCTCATGCCTGTAATCCTAGCACTTTGGGAGGCAGAGGCAAGAGGCTTGCCTGAGTCCAGGGGTTCGAGACTAGGCTGGACAACTTGGCGAGACCTTGTCTCTACAATGAATTGATAAAAAAAATTAACCAGGTGTAGTGGCATATGTCTGTAGCTTCAGCTACTTGGAAGGCTGAGGTGGAAGCTGGCTGAGGCTGTGCTGGCTGTAATTGTGCCACTGCACTCTAGCCTGCTCAAAAAGAAAACAAGACAAAAAAACACCACACTTGATGCCACAGGAGTCCTTAAAGGGTGGGTTAATTCTAGTCCCACTGGGCCGTCTGCTTCCAGCAGAAACTTGCTCCTGGTTCCTGTGTGCTGAGAGCTCCCTGGTCACTCTGACTGGTGCTATTCCTGGTAGGCAGAGCCTGCAGGGTCGCCTGAGGTGGGACATGTGAATAACAACGTGACTGCAGAAACACTCTGTCTGTGACCTGGGCAGGACCTTCTTAAAGCCTTCAGAAATTAAACTAATAAGCAAATCCCAAGGCCTGTCATCAGTCCCAGGCTGTGTGTGTGTGTGTGTGCGTGCACGCGCGCGCTAGGGGCCTCTTCCTGACCTTCTCAAGGAAAGTACTGGAAGTCTAACCTTGGTTGAGTGACCAGGTAAGCCCTACCTCCTGGGTTTCTTCTTGGGAGCTCCCTCATAGATGGCCCCAACGCCTAAGCCCTACTTAGAAAAGACTGCAAGCCTGCCTCACTTAGTTCACAGGCCCCGTGGGTCAGTGTGTGTCATGCTCATGGCTAGCAGTGAAGGGTAAAGGTTCTGCTTGGGCTCCTTCTGCAGGGCCAGGGAAGTGCATGTGCAGGGAGCCCTGTCAACCTCAGCAGACTAGTGTCACAGGACAGCATGGGCGTGATCTCTGCTGGGGTGCTAGCCACGTGCAGAGCTCCATCCCAGACCCATGTGGAGCAGTGACTTTGGAGCCAGACCTGGGATCCCAGGAGGGAGAGACCCGGAGGCTAGGAGATCACACTGTATGAGAATTCAACTACTGGGGCTGCCCTGCCTGGCAGAGGTGAGATGGAGAGGCACGGCCTCTGAGCTCAACAACTTGAGAGTACACACTTGTCTGTGATGCCAAGAAGGGCTAGGACCAGCAGAAGAGCGATTCAGGCAGATTCCCCTGGGACAGAGCGAGGCCCCTCGGGCAAGGTGTGAGTGCTGAGGTGCTGGTGCTGCCAGGTTAGCCTGCGTACCTGCCAGAGGGGACGCTGGGGGTAGGTGGGCAGGCTGGTCACTTCCAGGTCTCCCTCCAACTCAAAACTGTACACCTGGCCTATGCCCTGTCAGTTTCTAAGAAGCAACAGGGTGTGGAAGTAATCCATAATTCCAATCCAGCACCTGCAGCACGAAGGCAGGAGGGCTTGGGAATGCTCTAAAATGTCATTGCAGGTGACCATTTTCACCATCTGAGCCTGAGCGTCTACAAGGGGAGGAGGGTAGTTTAAATCCATAGGTCACTGAAACGGATGAAGTGGAAAATGAACACACAGATCCAGCCTGGCCTTTACAGGAAAGACATCATGTGGCATGTTACTGTAGCTCCCATTTCATACCCAGCTCTGCCAACCTCAGGAGCAGCCTCTTTATCAAACGTACCTACGTCACTGCAGCTGGGAAGCACATTGCTTTAAGGGCTTTTTCCCCTGCCCTTAAATGAGCTGTTTCTGGGGTGACTCCCCAAGCAAGCTCTATGAACTAGAATGGACACACACAGAGGCATCTCCGAGGGGCTGTCTGGGTGTTAGACACAGAGGGAAGGTGCTTCATCAAAAGAAACATTGCAAGATATCCTTCAGCGACAAATGTTCTTTTGGCCCCAGGGACTCTCCAGAACACAGTGGTTCAGGTGCCCATCAGGCTCCCTCAAGATATGAGGCAGCTAGGACAATGCAGACCCTTTGGCAGATGCTGCCCATGGTGCCCTTCTGAGGAAGACGACCCTTGGCAGCCTAGTAACTTGGTTTGTCAGGTGTGGTTCACTGAGCAAATTGGGAGAGCCTTAAAATAGGCCCATGTGAAATCGCTCAGGACAGGTAACAGTCTCTGGATACGGCAGAACTCTGAGAAGGTCACCCTCCTGTTCACACCGGAGCCCCGTATGCTGCTCCCCCGCCCAGAGCCCACCGACCTCAAGTGTGTGCACGTCGTCAGCAGATTCGGAAGGACTTCTCCTTGCGGGGTTCTCGGGCGATGCTGCTGGCGCTGCCCCCGGGCAGTCTGCTGGGATGCTGACCCCATTGGTGCCACTGCTTGGGACTGTGGGAGGGAGAGAGAGTGGGAATCATGGGTACTCAGTGAAGGCCCCTTCTGTTGTGTGGGCCATGGTACATGTCTCTTTTTTTAAAGAGACATGGTCTCATCACTCTGTTGCCAGGCTGGAGTGCAGTGGTGTGATCACAGCTCACAGCAGCCTTGAACTAGGTTCAAGCGACCCTTCTACCTCAGCCAACCAAGTAGCTGGGACTACAGGCGTGAGCCACCAAGCCTGGCTAATTTTTACGATTTTTTTAAGAGCCGGGGTCTTGCTAATGTTGCCCAGGCTGGTCTTAAACTCCGGGCCTTACGTGATCCTCCTGCCTAAGTCTCCCAAAGTTCTGGGATTATAGGCATGAGCTACAAATTCCTAATTAAGAAACAACAAAGAAAAAAAATAGGAAAACCTCACACAAGTGAGAATATCTTATTTTCTTCTTTTTTTTTTTTTGAGTCAGAGTCTCACTCTGTTGCCCAGGCTGGAGTGCAGTGCACGCTCCCAGCCACTGCAGCCTCGACCTGCCACTTCAGGTCGACCTTCTACTTCAGCCTTTCAAGTAGGTGGAACTACAGGCATGTGCCACCATGCCAGGCTGATTTTTTTGATTGAAGGTAGAGACGAGGTCTCACCAAGTTGCCCAGGCTGGGCTCAGGCAATCCTTTCGCTTCCGCCTCCCAAAGTGCTGGGATTACAGGCATACGCCACTGTGCCTGGCGAGAATATCTTATTTTCATTCCAAAAAGAACTGTGTGATTTTTTTCAGTGATGCTACTAATTAAGAAAAAACAAAACAAAACAAAACAAGAAAATACATTGGGAGAACAAATCATTTTAAGTTTTATAAAATTAGTTTTACTAATGAAGTTTTCACGTACTTTTTTCCCTAAGTAGTTGAGTATATGACACACACGACTGTAAATCTGGCTTTGATGTTTAGTGTTAGATTAAAATAATGTCCCATGTAATTAAGAGTCTTAAAAAACATAAACCGTTTCCATTGTGTGGGACGCTGAGTTGCTTCTAATTAATTACAGGGAAAAATCAAGAGGACAAAAAGCTCATGAGCACTAAGAAAATTAAGGACCAACTGGGAACCGCGGCACCTGCCAACGTGGCACAGTGCACCCGGTAGTTATGCCTGAGATGGAGGTACACAACTGAGCGAAACCACTCTTCCTGTCCCTAGATGACCCAGGAAGCGCAAGGCTGACATGTTATCTGCACACACACAGGGACAGACCTCCAGGTTCCCAGGAACCAGCTGGCTTTATGAAGTCTGAGTGAACACAGCACTTTCACCCACATGACCACACTCAGCCAAGAGCTGCGGGGAGGCTGTGGAATCACTCCTCACTCCTCCTCTGCTGAGGCCCACGAGGGCCAGGGCTGGAGGGGCCAGGACTGTGGTTGATTTAAAGGATCATCTTCCCGTGCTCTCTGTGTCTCTCGATGCATTCTGCAGTCACCTGTGTTGTGACACTGCAGACCTGGGCACGACTTCGGAACACCCTACCCTGCCGCCTGAGCCTGGCGCTGTTTCTTACCGGTCTGGGCCAGGGCCTTTGGCTGCGGGGCTTGTAACACTGCTGGGCGAAGCACGCTCCGCTGCTGCTCCTTGGGCTTCTGGCTCGGCAGACCTGGGAACAGAAGCCGGCTTTCCCAGGGTCCAAAGCCCGAGGGCCCCTGGTGGAAACCAACACTTTCTGCCTCCAGGTGCTTTAAATGCTGACCCCTGCAACCCATTTTGTGTCCCTTGCAGGCTAGATTTTTCAGGGAAGCACTTCTCAAAAACCCGAGGTCTTTTCTTTATAGCCAGATGTGCAGATTCTAGCTATTGTTATTTCTATATGCCATTAAGTGAAACTCCCATGGAACCGATCACGTCTGTGAGTTCATCTAGTTAGCAAGCAGAGCAGTGTGACAAGAGGGGTTGGAGGACAGCTGTTCTCCTAGAGCTGGACTCACAGTCAAGTGCAGACGGTGAGGGGAAAGCAGTTAACTCATGGGCGGCTCCCCAGAGACTCAGGGCTCTGCTTGAGGCCATACAAAGGCACCCCCTGCACCTGCTTTTCAATAAAGCCACACTGAGGAAATCCCTCTGCCAAATGAGGACGTGGCAAGGACCGAGGACCACGAGGGGCTGTGTCCTGCCTTGTATGGCTTCCGCCAGCCTCTCAACAGTCTCGGCAGCTCAGGTCTAAGCCCGCTCACTAGCATGGCTGCTGGCATGCAGCTGCCCTGCTTGCCGGGGCTGATGCCATGGCATGTTGGGGCCAGAATGCTCCGGAGACAGGCTGAACCCACTGTGCTGTGCTGGGCATGGAGCCTGCCCCCACGCTATGGCTGCCGCCTCTTCTGAGTGCACAGAGCTCACAGGAAGGTGTCTCCATCTCCCTGAGCAAATGCCTCTCTATAAGCAGCTTTCCAGAGCTCGTGGATCAGGTCACAGGCGACCTGTCAAGCAGGCTGAGCCTGTGGTGTCCCGATGCAGCTGGGCAGGGAGGCCTGGAGAGGTGTCGAAAGCCACTTCCCCACCCCCGGGAGGCGTGCACCTACCTGCGCTGGGTGCCTGGCCGTGGATCAGCGTCGGTGGCTTCAACCGGAACCCACTGCTCCTTTCCTCTGGAAGCACAAGACGGCACGTGAACAGCAGGCCTGCCTGGCTAGGGGGCTGGTCAGGGGAGGAAGGGCAGGAGAGGATGCCAGTCCCGGCCTTGGTGACCCAGCACCTGGAGAACCAGAGAAACTGTTTCCACGGCCCAGTCAGCAGGGCTGGAAGGCGGCTGGGGGAGGAAAGTGGAGGGGCCCTGGGCAAACTGTTGACACTGGGAGCCAGCATGAGCCCCTGCTCCCCAGGAGCTGCATGTGCCCAGGAGCTGAGGCGTGGATGTGCTGGGCTTGCAGCACAGAGAACATCCGGGAGCCACGGAGCCCCGCTGCCCTTTTCTGTGAGACCTGTCTGCAAAGGACGCGTCTGTGGCCGGGAAAAGCAGACATCTGGGCCACGAGGCACATTCCTGTGGTGAAAGGTCAAAGGTGGCTGACAGTGAGCTCACCCCTTCCTTCCAGATGTGCCCACAGGGCGTTGCCTCATCATTCAGTGAGGCAGGAGGCTGGGTACCCCAGGACTGAGTCCGAGTGACAGATACACAGAGCAGGAGGAGGACTGCAACGCCCAGGGGCTCCAGCGTGGCTCGGAAGACTGGCATTGGCTCAGCCACCTGTCCTCAAGGTTCTCCCAATCTGTGTGTCCTGGCGACTATGCCACGGGGCAGGGGGTATCTAACCCACGACAGGAAGGGCTGACCTCAAAGGCCTGTGACCCAGGCAGGTGTTTCTGCGGAAAGCACAGGACTGTGGTGTCACAGCTCCTGGAGGTGGCCCTGCTTTTGTGCTGAGGTCCAGCCCTGTGAGGTTGCAGGGCACAGGATTCACAAGCAGAAATCAACTGTGACACCAGCAGCGAACAACTCCCAAGTGAACGTAAGAAACCAATTCCATTTACGATGGCACCAGAAGGAATACAACACTTGGGGATACATTTAACCAAAGAAAACTATAAAACACTGTCGGAGGAAATCAAAGGCTTAAAGAAACGTAAAGATACCCCCAAAAGGTCACACACTGTCTGATTCCATTTATATGAAATGTTCAGAACAGGCAAATCCGTAGACAGAAAACAGATGGGTGGCTGCCAGGGGCTGTGAGTGGGGTCAGGGAGTGACTGATAATGGGATGGAGTTTCTCTTTTGGGGTGATGGAATGTTCTAAAATTAATGTGAAGGTTGTGTGACTCTGTGGATATACTAAAAACCATTCAACTATATATTGAAACAGCACTGACAACAAAGCCCAAAATGCCTCACCAGACTTCCAGATCTCAAAATCGAACCAGAACTCAGAACGAAACAGGAAGGTCCCTCTCCTGCTGCTGGTAAGCTGTGCGCTGTGACTGGTGATGCAGGAATGGCAAGAACTCTCCTCACGGGCCGGACCGAGGGCGGCGGGCCCGGCAGGCTGCCCATAGCCTGTCAGTGGGCTTGGTGCTTCTCCCATAACAGAGCGGTCATAAAAACCAAACTCAGGAGAACCAGATCCCACAGGACGTGGGGAGAGCCACTGCCAGATGTGCCTTTTCAGAGGAAAATAACTCCGCTTCCAAAGCGCAGCGCTCCTCAGAACATGACTGGCGATTTAGACACATTTCAAAATTTGAGGTCAAATCCACAAATTAGATGATTTCTAGAAAGCCCTTACAGCTGGCTTCTGCCCTTCTCTGCAGCCCACGTCGGCACGGATAGGAGCCTGGGCTGCCCCACTCAGCAGGGGTGGAAGGAGGCCTGGCTAGTCCTGACCTGCCAGGAGTGCTGGGACCCAGAGCCCGGCCCACTCTGCAGGCACAGACAAGGTGCGTTGCACTTCTCATGGCAGCTGGGGATTCGGGGACACAGGGACTCAGAGCAGCAGGCAAGTGAGCTACTGGGCCAGTCAAGCTCTGGAGGCCCCCATCTTGGGCCTCAACTCCACCAAAACAAGGGTGGTCTCTTCTCACTCCTTCCAGAAACTCGCTTTTGCCATAACACAGTCAGGCTGGGCTGCAAGTTGCTGCTCATGGCCAGAGCCTGATGTCTACCCACCACATGGCCCAGGGGCCCACGGGACCTGGAGGACCCCGGAGAGGAAGACACTAGACGGGGAAGCAGGCTGGCCCCTGTCTGCAGGTGTTTTCCGCCTGCCTCAGAGGCCCCAGTGATGTCTGAGGGAAGCAGTGCTCAGCCTGAGGGAACCCCTGACTTAACCAGGTTAGTATATTGAAATGAAACCTGGTGTGCGCCACATGTTGAGGATCCAGAAGGCAGCCTGGCTGGGGCTGGGGTCTGTGTGAGGATGATGATGGTCAGGGAGGGGAGGGAGCCATGTGAGACACGCAGGGGGCAAAGGGAGTCGGGTTTCTTAGTGCCAGACAAGAGGGTGCTAGTAAGGGGGAAAACGTTCATACCTAGACTACAGTACTTTTATGTGTTCTCGCCCAAGACCCCAACCTGGATCTATTTGCCAGGAAACGCAGGACAGACTCAAACTAAGGACATCTACCCAACTGACCTGTCACCTGCAAGGTCACAGAGGCAAGGGAAGGCTGAGGACGCACTCCTGGTGGGAGGAGAGGGCTACGGGTGTGAGCCGGGTCTGAACTATTTGCTCTCAAGGATTCATGGGGAAGACTGGGGAAAACTGGCAGGGGGTCTAGGTAAAAGAACAGAGATGCGCTTTGTAATTCTTCTGTAAGCATTAAGGTTTTTAAAACTTAAAGCTCAAAAACAGAAGGCAGCAGGCAGAAGAGGATGTGACTTTCGCTCTGCAGAAATGCTACGCGAATCGAACACAGCTCTGCCCTCCCTCCCACATGGAAGGGTACCGGGGCCTCAAACCAAGGGTGTCGGGGGCTACAAAATGCCAGCCCTGCTCCTGAGACTGAGGAGAAAGATCTGGGGGGGAGAAAGGAAAGGGAGGTGGTCACCCACAGACCTCAGAAGTGGCCATGAGATCTGCAACAGCTCAATGGCAGTCTTGGTGACTATCACCTAACTCAGAAGCACAGGCCGGTACACATCTTCTCCGCAGCAGACCCTGTCCCCACTTAGTGCCAGACAAGAGAGGGGCGATATGCCAGGAAAGCAGGAAGGAAGCCTGCTAGCCCTGGGTGGAAGTGCCAATGTGTCCTCAGTGTCATCTCCACATGCAGACAGACAGACAGACAGATAGGCCCATGCAGATGGAGACGTGTGTGTCCTTAACTCTGTCCATGGGGGACCAGGGAGCAGGGACATATCATGAGACAGCAGATCATGGAATAGACCAAGCATTCAGACCTCGGTTTCCAAAGATCACGTTCACTAAGAAGAACCCAGGTCCTTTTGAGAAACGGAGCCCAGAATACTCCCTGTACCCCAGGTATAACCCACAATGCACTGTTCCCTGTTCGTGGGGTCCTGGAAACACCAAGCTTCTCTGTGGGATGAGGCTAGGGGTCAGCTCAAAAGGGTTTGCTCTTAGAGTCAACGAATGTGATTGTTTAAGACGGCACCATCAAATCAGTCCTCAGAGTTACAAAAACTCGCCTCTTCCCTTGACATGGCCATCATGCCAGCGTATGACTTAGCTTGCAGTGCTTTTGAAGTCAGCAATGAATTTATATAAGGCAGGTTGGGTTACAGAATTTGGGTTGTTAAACTTGCTTGTTAAATCTTTTATGAGGAATTTCAGCCACGTAGGAGAAACTTTCAGGAAACCCTGGAGCTGGTTCTCCAGCGAAAGACCAAAAAAGGCAGTCTCCATGTTCTTCAGAAGGGATCAAGCTGTTTTCCTTAAAGTTTCAAAGCTGTGATTAAACATATCTATCTGGACAGATCTAAGCAATATTAATTAATGTGAGAATTTAATACACAGAAAAGGGGTCTGGAAAATCACATAAAATCCCCACGAGTTACCTTGGGGATGGCAGGCTGAGTGGGAAAAGGACAGGGGGTCTTTTTATTTGATGTATTTCATTTTAATCTTTTTTTAAAACAATATGAATGAATTAGTTGTCAAAAATTTTGAAAAATAAATAATATATCTCTGCCCAGATTTTTTTTTTTTTTTTGATTCAGAGTCCCACTCTGCTGCCCAGGCTAGAGTGCAGTGGCACGCTCACGGCCACCGCAACCTTGACCTGCTGGGCTCAGGCAATCCTTTGGCCTCAGTCTTCCAAGTAGCTGAAACCATAGGCATGCGCCACCACACCCAGCTGATTTTTTTTTGGGTGGGTGGGGGGTTTATTGTAGAGATGAGGTCTCACCATGCTGCTGAGGCTGGTCTTGAACCTCTGAGTTCAGGCAATCCTTTTGCCTCTGCCTCCCAAAGTCCTGGGATTATAGGCGTAAGCCACTGCGCTCAGATTTTTTTTTTTAAAGGAGTTAATACTCCTTACAAACAGATCTGGTTGCAGAAACAGAAATTTCAGGGCTTATGAAGCCTTATCTCATGCTGGATTCCAAATCTACGAGCCAAAGAACTGAAGGAAAAAAAATGTAGGAACTGAAAAAGGGCTGAGTTTCAATTCCTGCTGAAGATCTGAAATTCCAATACCAACAGCTTGTCCTCCCAGGAAAACCCCCCAGGACTGGCGTGAAGGCAGAGGGGTGTGAGGGCTCACCTGGTTCTGAGTCAGAATTGCCTGCAGATGACTCGCAGAAGGTTGATGGCATAAAAACATTGTTTTTTGATACTGTCGGCAAGGAGGTGCGGGCAGGGGAGGGAACAAGAGGAAAAACAGCGTGAGTAGGTGAGCGGCGCACTCGATCACCTCTCCTGCCTGGGGGTCCATTCTCAAGCCCACCATGGAAGGGGACAGCCCACACATGGGGCATTCAGACTACCTACACCAGCAAGCCCCAAGACCGTTTTAACAGCAAAACTGGGGTCTCCAGCCATGGGCCTTTATCTGCCTGATGGCCACAGTCAGTGCCGGTCTACGGAGGGCTCTCCCTCCTGTCCTTAGGCCCTGCAGTGGCAGCCTCTGGGGAAGCGGAAGGTGCCCAGTGCCCTAAGCCACATCAGAGGCTGCCCTAGCCAGCGTCCTCACCTGGTGGGTGCCCCCTGCCCACCTGCCTAAGATCTCGTTAGATCTGCTTCCCAGGGTGCGGGCCAGCCAACAGGCCTCCACAAATGAAGCACACTCCAAGGTGAAGCCCTAACCCCAAGTGCAGCCAGGACAGACGCAGCTAAGTGGAATCCCGTGGAGGACAGAAGTAAGGCTCTGACTGTCGGTGCCCTCTATCTCCAGGCTCCCCGATGATCCAGAGTTGGGTTATCTCCCAGGTGCCATCACACAGGATGGGAGGCATTTTCAAGCAGGCCAGGGAGGAAAAGAGATTGGTGACCCTGGCCCCTTTCGCCTATGGCCACAACACCAAATGCCTCCTTTGCTCTGCGCTGCCTTTCAGTGCAGCCAGTGTGGTGATAGGAGATGGTGAGTGGAAAGGAATACAATCAACTAGGAAGTGGGGGTGCCTGCAGGCCCTGGGAATACCTGTCCAAGCATGCAGAGATCCTTAAGGAAAAGGATGTCAACTGCAGGGGGACTGCAAGCCACCTGGGCCGTTCCCCAACATCTGGTCAGCAGAAGACAGTGTAACCATGTGGGGGAGCCTCATGCAGCTGGGAAAAAGGCTGTCACCGAGTCCCAAATCGACGTCAAGGGAATCAACTATGAAAAAGTACGTCAGATGATGACCGAGAATGGACATGGGCTTTCTACACTGTGCGTTCCTGCAATGTGTGCATGACTTCGTTAGCAGAAATGACTTGAGGCTCTAAAGGTCCACAACTGCTGAGTGATTTATGTGAACTTCCCAAGACTGAGTTTCAGACTGGGCAACTGGAGAGCCTCTGTAAGTACATGTGCGTCTCTGAGTTGGTGCTACAGGCAGCTCGGCCAGGGAACACGACAGGGTCAGAGTGGGGAAGCCAAGGTCGGGGAAAGGAGAGCAGCCCCATGGCAGTGTTTGACCTAGAATCTCGGGGCATCTCCATGGCTGGAGGCGGAGTGTCAGGCGTTCTCGGCACCCCACAAGTAGCACTGATGGCTTTTTCTGCCCCGCAAACCTGCCTTTTTTCCCACACCAGCCTGTGTACAAGCCCCTAGCCAACCTCCATGCCATGCTCAGACCAGGCCTCACATCCAGGGCCCCATGCCCCACTCCACAGTCCGAACCTGGCCCAACCTTCCAGGCCTTTTCTTCCTCTGGGAGCTCACAGGATCCCACCCAGGTCTCTATTGGGCCCCGTGTTATGGGGCGTGTGTGTGTGTGTGTGTGTGTGTGTGTGTATGTGTGTGTGTGTGTGGCGTGTGTGTGTGTGTGTGTGTGTATGTATGCACACATGCATGTCAGGGTCACTGCACTGGACTGCTCACATTGGGCACACAGTTGAAGGGTTAGGCGAATACCCCACCCCTCCCCCCTGTTTATGGACAGCAGCCTTGGAAAGAGGAGATGTGATTCATGATCAGAGGCCATGACAGGGCTCAAGAGTCAACTCCCTTTTGGAAGCATGATCTCTTCACTCAGTCTACTGAGTCTCACCACATCGTGTCCCTGACTTCAGACAGGGGACACCCCGTGTTGATCTGGGCAAGCTCTAACCTAACCCCAATGGAGGAGACCAAGCCTCTGATCAACACTAACTGAAAGGATCTGGCAGGAGACAGGATGGACGGGAGGTGCAGAGGGGAACGGTAGGGTCATGACCGTCAATGCTCCCATGGCAGTGAGCCTGCATGTGTTACCTGACTGTGAGGGTGGGAACTGGGTTAGAGAGGACGTTCTTTCTCGCTTCACAGGAGGGCAGTAATTTCCATCTTCTCGGTCAGAATCTATAGAAAATGATGAGAGGAGGAGGAGGAAGGTCAGGTTGCTTCCATTTTTATAGCTAGAGACAGTCACACACACTTGAGATTTCCTTACCTTCACCGCCTTCGGGACTGGAGCCTCCAGCTGACCTCTGAAACAAGAAGCACACATCACGGTGGTCAGAGAGTGTCCAGATAACACCCCCAGCTCCACAGCGAACGATCCTGACACGCGGCACCAGGGGCTAACTCCCTGAGCCTGCTCCCCGATCCACGGGCAATCTCAGCCTACAGCTCAAAATTCACTCTGCGTCTGGCTCACCCAACGTGTGCCAAGGAGGTCTCGGAATGGAAAAGCAGTCACAGCTAGGGACCCACAGGTTACAACGACCTGGCCTGCCACCCCCAAACTCCAACACAGTGAAATCTCATCTGTCCACTGCCCATTCCGCCAAGCGCTAAAAAGTGACCCTCTCCGCTAGGAAAGGCAGCAGGCTGTTTACAATGGCCACTTAACACAGGATTGGAGTGGTTTCCATTCCTTGCCCTCGAATGTTCTATGGTGCAGACTCCCGTCTCAAAGTAGGCTATTCTTCCCAGAGCAAGTGAGAGCTCTGATGCTTTGGACTAAAGGCCGCCGCAAAACATTCACAACAGAAACAACAAAGACAATGGTCCTACAGGCTGCCATCACAGGCTGAGAGAAGGGCAGAGGAACTTCCTGCCTGACCAGTCTTTAGCTTCTGGGTGGGAACAACCAGCACTGAAGACTCAGTGAGGAGCATCCCCCTCCCTCACCGCATACCCTCAAGTCTGTCCTGTCTCAGAACTGAGTAGCCAAGGGTGCACTCTGTTTAACAAGCAGAAGAGCCAACTTTCTTGTTTTCAGAAAAGCGTCTCAGAGGTCAAGGTTAGCCTAGAGAGGCCTGCCTGCCTGCCTCAACAAGCTGTTTGGGATTACATGAGATGCTGTATGTGAAAGTGCTTTGCAGACTGCAGAGTGGCGTGTAAAAGGAGTAACTGCAATCAATAAAACAGAAGGTTTGGGAGCCAGGAGAGACTTTCTAAGGGAGGGGGCAGCACATTTTTCCATAAAGGGCCAGACCGTCAGTCCCGGCTTTGTGGGCCACATTTGATCTCTGTCATACATTCTTTTGTTCTTATAATCCTTTAAAAATGTAAACACCATCTGAGTTTACAGGCTCAAGGCTGGAGTTTCTGGCAGTGGGAGTCCAGAGAGGGTAGGAGGTTTATTCAAGGTCACACAGCTAATCCACGACAGTTAAAAAACATTCCTAACCTGGACTTTCTCTTCTTTTGTGTGACCTGTCAGCTTGGGTTTGTGTCAGAAAAGGAAGCCCGTATTCCAAGAGCTCCTTGGATGTGGCTGTAGGGAACTATGTCCGTGAAATAAGTGCTGATGATCACCAGCCCCATGTGGGTATCTGGGTAACCGCGAGGCTCAGAGGAGACCGTGGCCAAAGTGCTCAGGAACACAAAATCCGTTAACACAACAGGGGGCTCTATCAGTTGTTGGGGCAACTGTGAAAATGCCATTGAGTCCATGGCAAAATCAAAAGATCCCGTCCAGTAGGCTGCCCTAGTGTCAGCACCGTACTGCAGCCAGGACGCGAGCATGCAGTGTGAAGGCTGCTTGGTCCTTATCGCCTCCCGAAGCTTGGAGAATTCAGTCAGTTGATCCTGGCTCTGCTATGTGCTAAGGGCGAATCTTGCCTTGCCCAGGCTTCAGTTTCCTTACACGGAAAACAGGGGTGCTAGTGCCCTCACAGAGGGTGTGCAGGGGGGCAACAAGATGAAGCAGGTGGGTGCTTGGCCAGTGCCCAGCAGGCTGGGAACAGCAAAGCGCAGCTCCCTGTGTTAACAGAATCTTCATGACTCACACCTGGATGCGGCCAAACTCCTAAGAGAAGGTAACCCCTCGGGCCACGTGGGCTGTGGGCTTGAGTGAACAGGGAGTCGGGTGTACAGGAGTCCTCAGTGCAGAGGGGAGGCCCCGAGCTGGGGACTAAGAACGGTTCCCAAGCACAGGACTCAAGTGTGGGGGAGAGACACTGGCAGCGCTCTGATTCCAGATGCGGGAGCCTGGGGTCGCTGACGAAGAGCTGTCACCAGCTTGTCATCCTTTGCCTCAGATGACATCAGTGGGTGTGGGCTCAGGTATCACTCACCTTCCTACTCAGCAAAGGTGAGAGAAAACAGAGGCAGTCCCTGCCCGCCTCGACTGCTGAAACCTGTGTGTCCAGCAGAGCCCAGGCAACCTGGCCCTGGCCAGCCATGTGGCCGCTGCATATCAGCCTCCCAGGCCCAGCAGCTCTGAGGAACCAGGCGCAACACATTCTCCTGGCCCTCTGGGTACCTCCCGCCTCCTGACCCCCACAGGCTGGTTGTGGCCTCCAAGTCCTCGTGCAGGTTCCAAAGCCTGTGCATGGCACAATCCCCGCAGGCTCCCTGGCTTCCCGGCCCTTCCTAACAGCAGGCCCAGTTCGTCCCTGCCCCCACAGCTCCAGGCTCTTCTCCTTTTAATTCAAGCATTTCTTTCTTTCTTTTTTTTTTTGAGTTGGAGTCTCACTCTGTCGCCCAGACTGGAGTGCAGTGGCCGCTCCCGGCCAGCGCAGCCTCAACTTGCTGGGCTCCGGCGACCCTTCTGCCTCAGCCTTCTGCGTAGCCGGAATTACAGGCGCGCGCTACCACGCCCGGCTAATTTTTTGATTTTATTGTAGAGATGAGGTCTTGCTGCCCAGGTGGGTCTCGAACCCGCGGGCTCAGGCAATCCACTCACCTCAGCCTCCCAAAGGCGCGGGATTACAGGCTGAGCCACCGAGCCCGGCAAATTCAAGCATTTCAACTGTACCAAACCCCTCACCGAGTGACTCCCGGATCCTAGCAGGCCTGCCCTTCCCAAGTGACTTCTGGGAACTGGAGGCGGCTGCTTCCTCTCTGGCCTCTGTTGATGACCTGCATTCTCATCTAATGCCAACTTCCTCTTCCCTCAGACAAGAATGGTGTTGACACTCCTCACACTTCTCCTTCATGGCTCTTCCTCTGATCTTGAAATTTGTGTCAGGGTCTCACTCATCTCTGAGGCCCAGGAGGGACATCCTCATGGCAGGCGCTCACTCGGCCTATGTTCAATGAGAGAATACTGCATCCCAGGAGCTCGGCCAGCCATGTGGGCAGCGAAGCCTCATGCCCTGGCCTTGCGGTGGGAGCTAGTCCAGACCAGTGGCCCTGACAGCTGACAGTCCCCAAGCGTCCTCATGCTTCCCCAGCCCCTGCAGAGGGTATTTCCACCATTACCACCATCTCAAGAAGCCTCCACATCTATCTGGCTTTGACTCGCTGGTTATCTAGATTGGTTTCCATGCGTATGAATTTCCTACTTGTCTTCTGTTACTGATTTCTAATTTTATTCCCTTGTGGTTGGAGAACAACCTCTGTATGATTTTGATCCTTCTAAATTTATGGAGCCATGTATTTTGCAGCCTCGCAAATGTCCTTTCCTGGAAGAATGTTCTAAGTACATTGGAGAACAACGCATCTTTCTGTTGCGGGGTGGGGTGATCGGCGCCAGGTCTGGTCAATTTCTAGCGCTGTTCAGGTCCTGCCTCCTTACCCATCTTCTGCCTGGATGTTCTATTGATTTGGGCTTGCTGAAGTCTTCAAACCATTACAGCTGAGTTGGCTACTTCTTGCTTTGGTTTTTGCTTTGGATATCTGGGGGCTCTTTTCGTGACACCCCACACTTCTCTTTAAGAACGTGGTGGAGGCTACAGGTCCTCTCCCCAGAGAGTGTGTCCAGGTCAAGAACCGAGGCTCCAGGGCTCCCAGCTGGCCTCTCAGGGTCCACATGCCACTCAGGAGCAGCCCAGGGCACACTGGAGCGCTCTGGGCAGTCCTAGACTTGCTCTCCCCTTCACCTACCACACCCAGCCATGGCCAGCCTCATCACCTCCGGCGCCCCGAGGATGTACCTTAAACCGCCTGGGAGGCCAGCAGCGCCTTTGCCCCCACCTCCCTGCTCCCCGACTCCTGACTGCGGAGAGCCCTTGGTGGCCTCCTGCATGATGTCCCCTCTGTCACCCTGATGTCCCCTCTGTCACCCACCACGTGGGCCCCCTGCCTGTTTCCTGAAAACGTGCACTCTGTTCCTGCCTCACTGGGTGCTCCTCACGGCTTGGGGGACTTTCCCTCCAAGTCTATGCATAGTTGCAGGGTTCATCACAGTGACCACCCCTAGGTAAACACATGCTCACCTCCCATCACACCCCAGGCCCTCTCGGGCCCTTTCCCCACCCTGTTTTGTTCTTCTATCAGTGGGAAGTGATCTCAGGCGTCTGCCTGGCATCTGTCTCCTGCTATGACGAAGCTTATACACCTAACACTGGGACACTGCACAAAATGCTCAGAGAGGACTTGCAGCAAGGATGAAGTCTGTGTCCTCTCTATATCCCCTGCGGTGACCCCAAGAACAGGTGCCTGGCCAGATGAGATTCAGGTGTCTCTGATGCCTGACCCCAGGGGACCCTCAAATCCATGCCCCAAATCTCTTCTAAGAATCTGCCTGAAGCCGGGCTCCGTGGCTCAGCCTGTAATCCTGCGCTTTGGGAGGCTGAGGTGAGTGAACTGTCTGAGCCTGCGGGTTCGAGACCTGCCTGGGCAACTTGGCGAGACCTCATCTCTATAATAAATAAAAAAATCAGCGGGCGTGGTAGCGCGCGCCTGTAGTTCCAGCTACTTGGAAGGCTGAGGCGGAAGGATCGCCGGAGCCCAGCAGGTCAAGGCTGCGGTGGCCGGGAGCGGCCACTGCACTCCAGTCTGGGTGACAGAGTGAGACTCCAACTCAAAAAAAAAAAAAAGAACCTGCCTGAAAGTGGCAGCCTCTTGGTTCCAGAAAGGCTGGGAAGCCAAGGTCCAGGAAGGACAACACAGGAAGATTCTCACACTGGTGGGGAGCCTTCCAGATGCTGCTGTAACCTCCAGTGGGGTCTGAAACGGTTGGCGAGGAAGCAGCAAGGGAACTGCCACCAGCGGTTCTTCTCACTAAGACCCGGCAGAAGGAAGTACCTGCGGACACAGCAGCTCTTCTGGAAAGCCTCACTAGCCGCCCACGGGAGGTGCTACCTGCCCCTCC